GCTTTAAACTTCTTAAGCTTCAATGAGAAGAAGTCTGAAGTCATGCTGTTCCATCCCAGTGGCTCACTCATGAACCATGACATTGACCTTTTCTCTCTAGCCCCGCTAGAGAAACAAAAGGTGACTAATCTGGGGGTGATAATGGACCCGTCCTTAAAACTCAACAGTCACGTAAACATGATGGTCAAATCCTGTTTTTTTCAGCTGAGACGGCTGTCTAAGCTGAAGCCTATACTCTCCAAAAAGAACCTTGAGACAGTGATCCACGCCTTCATAACATCTAGGCTTTATTACTGCAATTCACTTCTGTTTGGAATCAGTCAGTCCTCCATTGCTCGTCTACTACTGGTCCAAAATGCTGCAGCCCGATTTTTAACTGGTACAGGCTATAGAGAGCACATCACGCCAGTTTTGGCCTCCCTGCACTGGCTACCCATTCACCTTCGGATCCATTTCAAAATTCTCATGTATGTTTTTAAATCACTGAACAGTTCCGCCCCATCCTATCTCACTGATCTTCTGCAGCCATATGTCCCACCGCGCTCTCTGAGGTCAGCAGACCAGATGCTTCTCTCAGTCCCAGAAACCCGTCGTAAGCTCAGAGGTGACAGGGCTTTCTCTGTTGCAGGTCCACGACTGTGGAATGAGTTGCCACTGAGTGTCCGGCAGGCTCCCACACTCTCAGTCTTTAAGTCTCGCTTGAAGACCCACTTCTATTCGCTTGCCTTTAACACGGTGTGATTTGTTTTGGTCCGGTCTGTACTCTACACTGTTGGCCATTTTAGTTAGCTTCTGCTGCTATTTGTATCTGTATTTCTATTTTATGTTTTCCTGTCTGCTGTGCATGTTTGGTTCTTTTGTACAGCACTTTGGTTGGCCTTGTTGCTGTTTTAAGTGCTATATAAATAAATTGGTATGGTATGGTATGGTATGGTATGGTATGCGTGCACATCTGCTCACAGACTCATGTTCATGTTTGTGCTGATGTTCAATGTTTTTATGTTATGAGTGCTTAGTGTATATTTAGTTGATGTTTTTCTTAGTTCATATCTTAGATGTTATTACTGTTTTTCTTATATATTTTATTGTTGGATGTAACTGGGACCTTGTGTACATAATTTCGCTCCACCACATGTACCACATGAGGTGGAATGACAATAAAGAATCTCTGACTCTGACTCTATTAGCTTCCTGTGTTAGGTAGAAAATCTAAATTAAATTAAAGATGAACAAAAAGCTTAGTGCTACTTCTTGTGCCATGCTTCAGTGTTTCGCCCCTGGTGTGAAAAATGAACTGAGAAAAGTCGATTCTTGGCCTAAAATTTAACACTACAACATACACATCATATCTTCAATCTAAAACCAAAACAGTTATTATAATGTACTAACCGGATTCCAAAAAAAGTTGGGACACTAAACAAATTGTGAATAAAAAGTGAATGCAATGATGTGGAGGTGCCAACATCTAATATTTTATTCAGAACAGAACACAAATCACAGATCAAAAGTTTAAACTGAGAGAATGTATCATTTTAAGGGAAAAATCTGTTGTTTCCAAATTTCATGGCAGCAACAAATCCCAAAAAAGTTGGGACAAGTCCATTTTTCCCACTGTGTGGCATCCCCCCTTCTTCTTACAACACTCAACAGACGTCTGGGGACAGAGGAGACCAGTTTCTCCAGTTTAGAAATAGGAATGCTCTCCCATTCATGTCTAATACAGTCCTCTAACTGTTCAATCGTCTTGGGCCTTCTTTGTCCCACCTTCCTCTTTATGATGCGCCAAATATTCTCTATAGGTGAAAGATCTGGACTGCAGGCTGGCCATTTCAGTACCCGGATCCTTCTCCTACGTAGCCATGATGTTGTGATTGCTGCAGAATGTGGTCTGGCATTATCGTGTTGAAAAATGCAGGGTCTTCCCTGAAAGAGATGACGTCTAGATGGGAGCATATGTTGTTCTAGAACCTGAACATAGTTCTCTGCATTAATGGTGCCTTTCCAGACATGCAAGCTGCCCATGCCACAAGCCCTCATGCAACCCCATACCATCAGTGATGCAGGCTTCTGAACGGAGCGTTGATAACAACCTGGGCTATCCTTGTCCTCTCTGGTCCGGATGACATGGCGTCCCAGTGTTCCATAAAGAACTTCAAATCGTGACTCATCTGACCACAGAACAGTCGTCCATTTTACCACACTCCATTTTAAATGACCCCTGGCCCAGTGCAAACGTCTGAGCTTGCGGAGCTTGTTTAGAAATGGCTTCCTCTTTGCACTGTAGAGTTTCAGCTGGCAACGGCAGATGGCACGGTGGATTGTGTTCACTGACAATGCTTTCTGGAAGTATTCCTGAGCCCATTCTGTTATTTCCTTGACAGTGGCATTCCTGTTTGAGGTGCAGTGACGTTTAAGGGCCCGGAGATCACGAGCATCCAGTAGAGTTTTACGGCCTTGACCCTTACGCACAGCGATTGTTCCAGATTCTCTGAATCTTTTGATGATGTTATGCACGGTTGATGATGATAACTTAAAAGTCTTTGCTATTTTACGCTGGGTAACACCATTCTGGTATTGCTGCACTATCTTTCTGTGCAACAATGGTGGAATTGGTGATCCTCTTACCATCTTGGCTTCTGAGAGACACTGACACTCTGAGAAGCTCTTTTTATACCCAATCATGTTGTCAATTGACCTAATTAGTGTTAATTGGTCTTCCAGCAGTTCGTTATATGCTCAATTTCCTTTTTCCAGCCACTTATTGCTACTTGTCCCAACTTTTTTGGGATTTGTTGACACTGTGAAATTTTGAATCAACATATTTTTCCTTTAAAATGTTACATTTACTCAGATTAAACTTTTGATCTGTCATCTATGTTATATTACGAATAAAATATTGACATTTGCCATCTCCACATCATTGCATTCAGTTTTTATTCACAATTTGTTTAGTGTCCCAAATTTTTGGAATCCGGTTTGTATATGCAACCAGTCTTTCATATAAAAACTGTGATATTTTTTACCCGAGAATGCTTTCACTAACGAGTTTGTTGTTGTACTGGCACGGTTACAGCCGGCAGTAACTATTTACACAATAAAGTGATGGTTATTCACATTTTCCTCGATTTCAGTATCCAGCAGGACGTCACAATTTAAAAATAGGAATATTTTTACTGGAGAGTGCGTGCACTTTAACCAGGTAGAGTTCAGTTGTTGTTTTTTTACATTACAAACAGCAACAGATAATGAAGATTTTAACCTAAAAACCCACATAACAAAGCAGAGCATAATTTTTAAATTAAAACGGACAAGGTGGAGAAAAATGCGCTGTTTGAGTCTGTTTATGTACTGACGGTAAACAAAGTCCGACTCCCACCGCAGCTGCAGCTGAGACTAAAGTTTAAATCAGCACAGCACCATCACAACTCTTGTGAAGTTATGGGTTATTTGACACTTTCCTGCCCATTCTGTGACTTTAATAGACAGACAGTTACTTCTTATCTTGCATTGCAAATTATTTCAACCATTCGGTTTCTTTGGAGACTTCGCTGTTCGTCCCACCCTCTCGGTGAAAAGCGACGGTGTTTTGATTTCTGGGAAATGTAGTTCTTTTGACTTGTGTTAAAGTTATGGCTTACTGAAAGAAAACTACAAATTAGATGCACAGGTTTGTTTTTTTTTGTGTGTGAGTTTGTTTCATTTTCATTTTTGGTTATTGGTCGGTTCCCGCTCCTGTCTGCTCCCGTTATCTTTCTGTCCGGTCACATCCCGGTCACGTGAGTTATAATGAGGTTGACTCCGGTCCCGCCGAATTCTGGCCGGAATCACGTGACCCGCGGTACTCCCGAAAAAATGTCATCTTCTACTCTGGAACACCCAAAGGCTGACTTAAATGCTGAGAGGAGGATGGCTGCGGCCCGCTCTTCTTGCAGTCAAACACAGAGCAACTTTCTGGTCTTAAATTGATTCCGTGCACAGTCAGGCGCTTCATCAAGTTAGTTGTGTTGCCGACACATGCAACTAGTTCAAAATACAGATATTATGGCTTGCCATAGAACATGCGAATCCCGTCTGTGGGCGTAACCACGTATGGGTTTTTCCTTTGTGCTGCAAGTTGCAGCACTGGCATTGGCTGTAACATTACATGTGGTTGAAACCACGTGTAATGTTACAGCCAATCACCGAAAGTTGGCACCGAAAGACGAGGCATATTTTGATACTTACTACTACCGAAGCAGTTTGTCGATACCATAAATTTACCAACATTTGGTACTCAGCCCTACCCAAGACCCCCACCCACCCCAACCCATAAGATTCAATTGAATTCAGTTTATTAATAAAGCGCCAAATCACAACAAAGTTGTCTCAGGGACTTTACAGGAACATTCACATAAAAGCCAATTAGTAAAGTTCTCTATCTGAGGAATCCAGCAGACAAGTTGAGTCTTGGCTTTGTTGCAGTCTCCCATCCTGAGCAAGCAGAGTGGAGACAGTGGAAAGAAAAACTCCCTTTAACAGGAAGAAACCTCCAGCAGAACCAGCTCAGGACAAGAGACCATCTGCTTTGACCAGCTGGTTGAGAGGACAGGAAGGAGAGACAGACGAACATAGAATGGGAATGTCTAGGAATGTCTAACATTTCCAATGATTGTGCACATGTAAACAGGGTCTTGTGGTAGTCAAAATATTTTTCTCAGTCTGCTGGTCACTGCACAAAAAGGGTGTTTTTGGGGCGTAAAAAAACTGTGGTGAACTAAATTAAACCGTTAAGTGTCTAAGTAAACCATGGATTTTGTGAATTGTTACAACCTTATCTAAAATGAACTTTGGAGGGTTTTTTTGTTTGAATGGAGCATTTTCTTTTATTCGTTTACATTTTATATCATGCTCTGTGCCTAATAATATTGGTATAATGAAAAAAACCAAGTCATTTATCCACTGAGAACAATGGTCTGTTTTCTGTTTTGGAGTTTGCTGAAAACATTTGTGTTTTTGTGCAGGCTCCACTCTTTGCAATGAGTGTGTTGGCCAGCGATGCAGAATGATGCGACTGAAAAACCAGCTCAGTGAAGATTTCAAAGAAGTTTCAAATCTAATCAAATGTTTGCTCAGGTAAATACTCCAGTTAGCTGTTAAACTGATGTGTAGGTTTTATGATGGTTTATGATCTTTTTTTTAATCAAATCATATTTAGATTTTACTTTGTGTGTGTGTAATAATTTTTATTTATTTATTTTTAACCCATCCAGAGGACTTGACAACTTTTTTTTTTAGATTTTTCTACCTGGATTATTGAGCATGCATCAGGATTTGTTTGTGTATTTCAGTGATGAGGGTTTCTGGGTGGGCAAAGCGTCTTTGCGTTGCTGGAGGCAAATGGCTTTGGACCAGTTGGAAGAGGCTGAGGTTGAAACCAAACACAACCACAGCAAGACTAATGGGCAGGGACTGCACACTAACAGCCAGGGTAAGTTTTACACATGGTCCTGACTGAGTTATCTTGAGCAAAAACACGTTGGTTTTTTTTTAAGGGGAGACGGGCATTGATGTTTATAGCTAAAATTTTGATTATTTATTTTGGGGCTTGGCCATGCTACACCTGGGGTTTCCAGTCCTGGTCCTTTAAGGGACCGTTTACACGGAGCGTATTTTGAGTGCATCCGCAGCTTTCTCTCTGCGGTTCTGCTGATCATTTACACAACACCAGTGGCCCCCCCTCTTTGTATCCGGAGGTTTCTCAACCCACATTCCAGAGTGGAGGTTTTTCACTGACCCCCCAATGATAATGTAAACATCTCCCGCTGAGGCTTTGTGTTAAACCACATGCGCACACGCACACGTGGACAGACGCTATATTTCTATCAACATGGCGGCGGACACACTGCTTTCAGAACTACGATTGATGGAATATATTTTAATCTCGTAGTTAATCTACGTCAGATTCCAGGTGCTGTGACCGACATCTGTGTTGGAAGAGACACAATCTGATCCAGTTCTAATGTCGCTGTTTATAGAACGTGGCACGCGCACACGTCACGCTGGACTATAACATACTAAATGTGCTAAATAATAACAGTTTAATAACAATAAACAGTATTTATGTTAGTGTGAGTGATATAATGAAGCTCTGAGCTAAATTAAGCTTTCTAGACATTATGTAATTTAAATTTAAAATGATGCTAAACATGTAGCGTGAACACTAAAATTGAAAATGAAGACATCAGGTTTAATTTTTATTTATTTATTCAACACCACAAACTGTATGTCACACAAACACTGATAATTATACTGAACACACTATTAAAACACGTTAACTGAAATTGAATGGATTGAATAAAAGAACTGAGGGGAATTTTAAATAAATAGTTCATCCAACATCTGTCTCTTCGACATCCTCCTGCAGTTCATCTGGGCCGAGCCTCATTCAGAACCGGTCCGCCTGGTGGAAGGACAGCCCCTTCTTCTTTCAGGAAAAATAAAAACTCAGTTGGTTGTTTTGTAACCGAAGTAAACACAAACTAACATTATTAAGAACATTTGATTTACCTGCTGTAAAACAGCTACTGATGATCACGGAGTAAAGTCCGACATAGTCGACTCAGTTCTGGTCCACTCAGCGACCGGTGTGGAGCTGTTAGATGAAGCGGTCCCGCTTGGCGTCAAATCTGTCGACTCTTATCCAAAATCCAGCCAGAATCCAGCTTTTACTTGTTGTTACGTTATTGTTAGCTGAGCTTTTTAGCTCACAGGAAAGAAGCGTGCTGAGACAGCACGCATGCGCATTAGGTGAAGGTACAAAATTCACAGCGCCATCTAATGACCTGGCATGGTAACTACAGCAGATTCGGGAGGGCAGGGGGGAATCCTCCGGATGCATGTAAATACAAAATCCAACCGTGTCAACGCAAATCTTTTCCTCTAATTAACATGCAATTCAATTCAGTTTATTTATATAGCGCCAAATCACAACAAAGTTGTCTCAGGACACTTTACAGGAACATTCACATACATAAAAGCCAATTAGTAAAGTTCTTTATCTAAGGAATGTTTCTCTCCATTGGCTCCCTGTCAAATCCAGAATAGAATTCAAAATCTTACTTCTAACCTACAAAGCTCTCAACAACCTAGCTCCATCTTATATTACAGATCTTATTGTTCCATATTTTCCTAACAGAGCACTTTGCTCTCAAACTGCAGGTTTACTTGTGGTTCCTAGAGTTTACAAAAACAGAATGGGAGGCAGATCTTTCAGTTCTCAGGCTCCTCTCTTGTGGAACCAACTTCCAATCTCTGTCCATGAAGCTGACACATTATCCAGTTTTAAAACTAGGCTTAAGACTTTCCTTTTTGATAAATCCTATAGTTAGGGTCGGCTTGGGTTTACGAAAAAACCTACATTTCCCCCCATCGTGTCCGCGTAAATAGGGCCTAAGGGTCACTATTCTTCATGTTTTAGATGTTTTATCTGCTTTAAATGGTGAATGGACTGTATTTGTATAGCACCTTTCTATATTATCAAGACACTTAAAGCTCTTTACACCACAATCTGTGTCCTCATTTACCCATTCATACAGCACTCTACTAGATCTCTACAAAGCTAATTGAACAAATCATTCTAAAGAGACTAATCAGAGCTTTATCACATTCAAACAATCATGGGACACACATCAGAGGCAATGAGGGGTTCAGTGTCTTGCCCAGAGACACTTCGGCATGTGAATGCTGGCGGATTCAACCCCCATCTCTTGCACTGGAGGACAACTGCTTTAACACACCTGAATTGAATGAATGGGTTAACAGGCTTCTGCAAAACATTACAAGGTAATTAACATTAACTTTATTGTCATTACAGGTGTACAAGTACAAGGCAAAGAACGAGCGCATTAGAGCTATTTATAAGTATATATAATATTATATATAAGTGTGGGTTCAACAAGGAGACAACTCTGGGGAAATAGCTGTTTGTTAGTTTGCTGGAACTAACTGCATTACTGATTAAAAAATAATTATATATATATATATATACAGGGAGGAAAATAAGTATTTGAACAACCTGCGACTTTGCAAGTTCTCCCACTTAGAAATCATGGAGAGGTCTGAAATTTTCATTGTAGGTGCGTGTCCACTGTGAGAGACATAATCCCAAACAAAAAAAATCAGTAAATCACAATGTATGTTTATAAAAAAACAACTTATTTGTGTGTTACTGCTGCAAATAAGTATTTGAACACTTGCCAATCAGCAACAATTCTGGCCTTCAAAGACCTGTTAGTCCACCTCTAAAAAGTCCACCTCCACTACTCTTCTTATTGTAAATTAGAAGCACCTGTTTGAGGTCGTTAGCTGCATAAAGACACCTGGCCACTTCACACAATCAGTAAGACTCCAACTACTAACATGGCTAAGACCAAAGAGCTGTCCAAAGACACCAGAGACAAAATTGTAGACCTCCACAAGGCTGGAAACGGCTACGGGGCAATTAACAAGCAGCTTGGTGAAAATAGATCAACTGTTGCAGCAATTATTAGAAAATGGAAGTAGCTAAACACGACTGTCAATCTCCCTCGGACTGGGGCTCCATGCAAGATCTCACCTTGTGGCGTATCAATGATCCTAAGAAAGGTGAGGAATCAGCCCAGAACTACACGGAGGAGCTGGTCCATGACCTGAAGAGAGCTGGGACCACTGTTTCCAAGGTTACTGTGGGTAATACACTAAGACGTCATAGTTTAAAATCATGCATGGCACGGAAGGTTCCCCTGCTTAAATCAGCACACGTCCAGGCCCGTCTTAAGTTTGTCCATGACCATTTGGATGATCCAGAGGAGTCATGGGAGAAAGATCTGTGGTCAGATGAGACCAAAGTAGAACTTTTTGGTCTTAATTCCACTCAGTGTTTGGAGGACGACGAATGATGAGGACCACCATAAAAACACCATCCCTACTGTGAAGCATGGGGTGAAAGCTTCATGCTTTGGGGGTGTTTTTCTGCACATGGGACAGGATGACTGTTCTGTATTAAGGAGACGATGACCGGGGCCATGTATTGTGAGATTATGGGGAACAACCTCTGAAAGGGTTATTCTCCTGATAACACCTAAAATAATTCACACACACTAGACAGAGCATAAGTTTTCTTATAAAAAAGGCCCTCTGCAGAGGTGGGAGTTCTTGGCCTGTCCAAACGTCAAAGGCAGAAGTCCGACTGGGACGCTCGTATTTTATTTAGAAGGAGGGTGTGGGAAACAAGCACAAATCAACAGATACAGATGTCTCTGACGCAGCGTAGACACACAAGATTACTAACAGATGGTTTGATTACCTTACAGGATAGCCGGGGTAGCGAGGTCAGATCTGAATAACATCGTGGTTGTTTAAAAACCCACAGTCTTGGTCTTACTGCACACGCACATGAAGCTGAGAACAAAACTCTGGCTGTTTGGGGTTTTCTTCAATTCACACGACTGGAGTTTAAACAACTAGTAAGAAGTCTAAAAACAGTTTTAAATGATAAGATTTTAATTTATCCAACAACCTCCTTCCCTCAGAGCATTGAAGATGGATCATGGCTGGGTCTTCCAACATGACAATGACCCGAAGCACACAGCCAGGAGAACCAAGGAGTGGCTCCATAAGAAGCATATCAAGGTTCTGGAGTGCCCTAGCCAGTCTCCAGACCTAAAACCTATAGAAAATCTTTGGAGGGAGCTCAAACTCCATGTTTCTCAGCGACAGCCCAGAAACCTGATCTAGAGAAGATCTATGTGGAGGAATGGACCAAAATCCTGCTGCAGTGTGTGCACACCTGGTGAAAACTACAGGAAACATTTGACCTTTGTAACTGCAAACAAAGGCTACTGTACCAAATATTAACATTGATTTTCACAGGTATTCAAATACTTATTTGCAGCAGTAACACACAAATAAAAAATTTTAAAAAAATCATACATTGTGATTTCCGATCTTTTATTTTTTGGATTATGTCTCTCAAAGTGGACATGCACCTAAGATGAAAATTTCAGACCCCTCCATGATTTCTAAGTAGGAGACCTTGCAATGTCGCAGGGTGTTCAAATACTTATTTTCCTCACTGTATGTACGTATATATATATATATATATATATATATATATATATATATATATATATA